CGGTTTCTCCAGTAATGGCTGTAATCAAAGCAGCTCCGCTCATGAACGCTTCTTTATCAGATCAAATGAAAATGTCATCGAAACTTTTCTGAAGACAGTCAGTTCCCTTCAGAGATACATTCATATAAAACACCCACGACGTGTTTTGATTTTGAAACGTGCAGTGCTCATTATTTATTCAACTAAGTCAAAAGGCACAAATAAATCAATGTATGGGAAACTGGTAATGTATATCGAAATATCAGAAATGTGTTTAAAAATCATATCACCGTTATTGAAAAAAATTATATCGCGATACATATTGATAATGAATTATTGTCCAGCCCTATGTGATTATGTAAATAAACTGATGAATCAGTTATTTGAACCAGTTCACTGAAACAAACTGTCCAAAAGAACCAGTTCGCTGAAAAGAATCAGACTTCTTGGTTTGCTAGTTTTTGGTAAGGCTATATTTTACGGGAAATAATGTTGTAAACAATGTTCAGTTTCTTGCACAGACCGATTGTTTCATTTCATAAGACCTCAATATATTGTCAGAAGCCATTGGTATTACAGGGACAATTCACCCAAAAATGAAAAATCTGTCATTAATCAGCCCTCTACGGACACCTTGGCAACTGAATCGCCATTGGCTAGTAAAATTTTTTGTTTACTCGCCAGACTGATAAAAAAAAATAATAATTTAAATAAATAAATATATATATATATATATATATATAGTACAGTTTCAGATATTTATAAAACTGTGCCATTAGTGATTTACTCGCAATGTAGAGGGTTGTTAATTGCTCCCCATCATGTCATTTCAAACCCGCAAGACCTTTGTTCATCTTCAAAACACAAATTAAGATATTTTTGATTAAATCCTAAAGCTTTCTGACCCTGGAAAGACAGCAATGTAACTACCACGTTCAAGGACCAGAAACATAGTTAGGGCATCATTAAAATAATCCATGTGACATTAATGATTTAATTAATAATCAACGATGATAATGATTAATAATCAACCTTAACTTTATAAAGCTAAGAGAATACTTTTTGTGTGCAAAGAAAACCAAAATAATGACTTTATTCAACAATTTCTTCTCTTCCATGTCAGAATTCGATGCGTGTTTCACGACAGTACCATACGCATGCGTGTGCATTCCTCTCTTTGCAAATAAACCGCAATGCACCCAGGTTCTACATCAGAACGCCGGCTCCTGCGTCAGCAGCATCACACGTATGTGTCGTGGTGCTGTCGTGAATGCCCAGTGGAGACTGACACGGAAGAGAAGAGCTGTTGAATAAAGTTTTTACTATTGTTTCCTTTGCGCACAAAAAGCATTCTCGTAGCTTCGTAAACGGCAAATTAACAGCAAAATGCTCATTTTCATTTTGGGGTGAGCGATTCCTTTAAAGGGTTAGTTCACTCAAAAATGAAAATTAGCCCATAAATTACTCACCCTCAAGTCATCCTAGGTGTATATGACTTTCTTCTTTCAGACGAATCCAGTCGGAGTTATTTAAAAAAAATTGTCTTTGATCTTTCAAGCTGTTTAATGCCACTCAGCGGGTGTTGCATGCATCAGTCCAAAAGAAGTTAAATAAAAAGCAAATCCATCCATAAAAAAAGAGTGTCTCACACGGCTCCGGGGGGTGAACAAAGGCCTTCTGTAGCGAATCGATGCGTTTTTGTAAGATAAATATCCATATTCAAAACTTTAATGTAGCATGCGCCAACAGTTGTACATGGAAGCAGTTCCGGGAGAATGACGTATGAGTTCAGCACTGCGCATGTGCCGGTGAGTCTCGTCTGACTGGATTCGTCTGAAAGAAGAAAGTCATATACACCTAGGATGACTTTAGGGTGAGTAATTTATGGGCTAAT